CAATATCTACAGCAAAATCAGATCGTGCCTCCTTTTGGATGCAACCCAGACTGTGCATTTAAGTATCTCGAGGATAGATTACTGTAACGGCCTGCTCATTGGTTCTCCCCAAGCGCTCCTTAACAGACTATAAGCCACCCAGAACAAAACAGCCCACATTGTTTCTCTAAGCCCTGATTCACACAGATCACTCCCATCCTGAAGGAGCTTCACTGGCTTCCTGTGCAGCATTGAATCTGCTATGAAAACACCTCTGTTTTGCTTATAAGAGCTCTACCATATTTGTGAGATCTTCTCCAATCTTATGTTCCATCCAGATCTCTTTGCTCAGTGTCCCAGTATATGTTTCGCGAACCAACCAACTTCACCTTGAACTCCATTCCTCTCCAGCCCATTCATCTTTCGAACTTCTCTATCTCTTCCATCAAGCTTTCGACTGGCTTTCTCCCTTGACGGCGCTTTGATAGCTAAGCATGGAAAAGCGCAATACAAATTTATTATTACTATTATTGTAATACTGGAAAAGCGCAATACAAATTTATTATTACTATTATTGTAATACTGGAAAAGCGCAATACACATTTATTATTACTGTTATTGTAATACTGGAAAAGCGCAATACAAATTTATTATTACTATTATTGTAATACTGGAAAAGCTCAATACACGTTTATTATTACTATTATTGTAATACTGGTTTGCAAGCAGTCGCCTCCTACATACAATTTCCGTGTTGGATGCTTTTTTTATTTCAACATACAGACATATTTATACTCTTGTTTCACTGCGCGATAACGAGCTTGGTGACCTTGCACTTTGTAATGTTACGTTATGTCGTCATGTTTTTCCCCCTTGATACCTTATTAACATAATGCAACGCTACTTTCTTAGGTTGATACAGCACTGTCTCGTGTAACGTTTTTTAGCGGTATAACGTTGGGCTGTATCGTGTAACCTTATACTGTCACATGCCAGTACACTGTATCACTTTACGTTATGCCGCCACGTGCCGTTACACTATATCACTTACCGTTATGCCGCGATATGACGTTACACTGACTCACGTAACGTTATACGTCGATACGTTACACTAAATCACATAACTTAATCCCGCGATATGACCTTACACTGACTCAAATAACGTTATACCCCAATACGTTACACTGAATCACGTAACTTAATCCCCCGATATGACGTTACACTGAATCACGTAAAGTTATACCCCGATATGACGTTACATTGTATCACCGTTATACCGCGATATGACGTTACACTGAATCCCGTAACGTTATACCCCGATATGACGTTACATTGTATCACTTACCGTTATACCGCGATATGACGTTACACTAGATCACGTAACGTTAACCCGCGATATGATGTGAGACTTTCTTACACGCCCATGGGTGAGAAACCCATGCATGTGAGAAAACTGGTATCAAACATATGTGTGAGATCGATTTCTAATCCCGTGATTGGCTACTCATGGTGATGACCTAGGGTCAGGTTATGACGGACTACCTTCCTGATTAAAATTCATTGATAAGTTACTCGTCCTTCAATCAAACAGAAACCTGTTACTCGTGCCAAAAAAAACTTTATACCTACCTGTTATTTTCGCTAGTGCAACATAAACAGGTATAATTATACAGTGTAACACAATTAGAATAAATATAACACCAATCTACTTATTTTCTAATTCCTTTTATTGAAACATGATTCCAGTCATGAATTCAAAATGGCTCGAACAATCAGTGATACCTGTGTAAACAACTATGTGAAAATCGCCGTTAGAGATAAAGTCTGGGATTCCCTTCGAATATTCAAAATGTACAGCATTGGTACTTTTACTGGAGAGATGCGACAAGTGTTATGTATCGTCTTGCAAAAATACCTGACACGATAACGCCAGTGCCTGTCCATTGTGAGATCGATTTGCCTCGTTGTTTCTTTGATGAATTGATGAAGATGACATTTTTCACTGATAAACATGATGATTCTTCCGATAAAGATCCACTTCAAGCTCCGAGCTACTATGTGATTCTAATGTTATCAAATTCACTCATGACAATCAGAACCAAAACACACCCGTTGAAACAATGTACAACATGGAACGTTTGCTAGGGTTCATGAGTGCAAATGGCGACACACGCCCTTTCTATTCAATCGAACATGTACAGGAACGGTTGATCTACACATAAGTCATTGCTTAAGATATTCCTCCGATGCATGATAATGCAAAGTTCATGTCTTCATAACATACAGAATGTAATCAACTGACATTTCCTACTGACAACTCCGTAAATTCCAAATTCCGTAACATTGCAAGTGGCAGTTTCTGGCTCGGGGAAACCGGGAAGGGTGTGAAAGTCCCCCATTGATAGTGAACGTAACCTCTACACCTAATTAAACACACACAATAGTTTTGGCTCCGGTCGAATATGAGAGAACATTGAACGTAAACTGGTACACAAGTACTGATCCCCAATGCGAAGAGATATCCGAAACAATCTTCCGATGACGACAACCACCAAACGAAAACGTTTTGAAACAACTCGTTGTAAGATAAATGGTATCTGACAGACACTCGTTTAGAATCTCTATATATCTCTTACCGTGATACCACGATATGACGTTACACTGAGTCACGAAATGTTATAACACGCACGATATGACGTTACACTGTATCACTTACCGTTATACCGCGATATGACGTTACACTGAATCACTTAACGCTATTCCGCCCAATAACGTTATGCTTAATCACTTAAAGTTATAACGCCATGCAACGTTATATCGCCTAATAATGTTACACTGAATCACGTAACGTTGCACTGTCGCATGTAATATTATAATGTCATATCAAGCGTTTCTCTGTCATCTAAAGTTATATCACGACACTGCTTCATTACATGACTGTACTGCCGTTTCATTAGACTTTGTCATGTGACCCTAAACAGTCATCTGTAATCATAGTGAAAGGTAGTAGACCATGTCATGTAGTCTGTCATTCGATTGAATCAGGTCATTTGTAACCGCACTGTGGGTGTCGTTACACTGTACGCAATGCTGATGACAACGGTGTCGTTACATTGTTCACTAGTGAGCGAAAGATGCCGGGATCGATCCCCACATGTGACCGGGTGTAGAAACCTTGGAGCTAACATTACTTGCAGACTCTTTCAGTGTTGCCACTACCCCTAGTGTGCAGTACACAACCCTGTGCACTTAAAAGAACCCACTCATCCGATGGTAGGTGACCAGGTGGTGGACACACGAACACGTGCAGACACCTAGTTGCGGGTATAGTAACGTGCAGTATCAATGGACAAAATACTGTGACTATGTGTCCCAGTCCATGGCCACCCAGCTGCAAATGGGTACCTTGCAAGGTTGAGGCTGTGTGCTAACTCGCTGCACCTAACAGGCCGCATGGGTTAAATACTTCCCAGGGAGTTGAGTTAAAAGAATGCCAGAAAAAAGACATCCGTTGATCAAGGGAACACTCAGGCGCCTTGAGCATGTACTAGTTGCGTGGATATGTGCGCTATATGAACATTCTTTCAGTGAGGACAACCTTGTCATTATAATGTCATGTTGTGGACTATGGTGTCGTTACATTGTGTGCCATGTTGAGCACTGTGTCGTTATTTTGTAACCATGTTCAGGACCATAGTGTCGTTATATTGACTCGCAATGTTTAGGTCTACGTTGAGGTTACATCGTCGTATGCCATGTTGAGGACTTGTAGTAGAAACCCATAGCCGAGGAGACAGCAGTCCCAGTGTTGAATATTTTATTTATTCTGGTATGAACCTTCACTGCAAGTTTGATATATACATTTGAGACAGATACTCCCAACCATTTGCATTAGTTTGAAAACATGTAAATACACACTATGAAAGAGGAACTCAGTGACAAATTTCTATTTCACAAAATAATGCTTCTGGTAGATTAGTCTTCCTGTGTGAGGTGTTCAGAGACACGGTTGATTCTAGTCTTCACAGGTGTAGTACAAGTGTCACAACAACCCAAGCATAAGATGCGATATGTGTAGGTTGCTTCAGATGTTCTTAACTCTGACGTTGCTGAAACACAAGCCTCACAAATAGGTGAGAAGCAACAGTTCACTCATGGTCCGAAGAACTTCTGGCCACAGCCATGGTTGATCATCCAGACTCGCAAGCAAGGAGTATACTTCCACACGTGCTGGAAGGTGAGTTCCCTAAACTCACATCCCCAGCATATAGCTAAAGGCCAGCTACAGAGGCAGGTATATAAGCCACAGCAGAAGTTCTTTCAGCAGGTGAAGCAGCTGTGGGGATAGACTCCACCCACAGCCTACATTGTGTGCATTCTGCTTCAGCAACAACATCTTGAACACAAACCTAGAACACAACCGTAGCATACAAAATATATTCCCAAGAAGACTTTTAATCTGCAAACATATTGGGTTTGTATTGGAAGAAAGGAACATATTTCAGTGGCCTTACAACATATATTGTAGGAGATCCAAACAAGAACGGTGTAACTGTAGAGGCACGAGTATGTTCATACACGTCAACATATAAAACCGATGTTCCTGCACCAACACGAATACAAACTTTGTCCGATTCGTTGTTTTTTTCCATTGAGAAAGATCTGTGTAATCGCAGTTACCATTCGATTAATTACTACCGATGTTTTTCAAGACTATGTTCAGTTCAATATAAGAAGTGATACCATGTCACTTAAAGTGTAATTAGAAACCATGCATTGTTAAGGAGCCGTGTGATGTCATGTTTACTCGAGTGTTTGTAGACTTTTCATATGATTCTATAAGATTAACCAACTTACATCACGGGAAATCCTACGTTATTGAAAATTGAAAATGTATGATTGAATAATCAGGTTAACCATCTCCTAAGCATAAGTCCCGCTGATTAGACTCATTTGTTTGACACAGTCGGGCTCTTCTCCTCTAAGGTAGTTTCATATGCTCATGTTGAAATACCATGGAAGAATTTTCAGATTTTATTCAGGTATCATGTATTTATACAATGAGCTGTACACGTTTGCATAGATTATTTGTTGTTATTACATGATATATGAAGTCCTTGTTTCATTTCAATTGATTACCTTTTTGACCTTTTACAACAGTACGAACCTTATGAAAATATAAATATAATTTAATTATGTAGATGTCGTGGATAACAAATGGTAGATTTGCAAATTTACGTAATAATTGATGGTGATGTTTTTCATCACACAAAGGTAGGGTACCAGTTCCTTTAGTTCATCTCGTCTTCGTTTGGCAGGAAATACCTGCAGATCCCCATCTTTACATAACACAAAAGGAAACAGGTAAAGAAAATATGTATATATTATATACACTGCAGATACAGTTATCACAGAATCCACGAAACAGTACAGTGTCAAGATCACAGCGACGAGGAGAGTTTACGAAAGTCCAAAGAGATGTCGAGACAGAGAGTTATTTCAGTGGTTCTGCGTCTGTTTAGCCATTTTTGACTTGGATGTTACTGAAGAACATGCCACATGCCTCACAGATAGGTGAGATGCAACAGTTCACGCATGTTCCGAAGAACTTCTGGGCACAGCCAAGGTTGATCATCCAGATCCTCATGCAGGGGGTAATCTGCCACACATGCTGGAACGTGATGAAGGCGAACTCGCATCCCCAACACATGGCCAAGGGGCAGCCACAGAAAATTGAGAGGATGTTGTAGCAACAGCCCTTCCACATGTTGAAGCATGTGTAGGATAACTTCCAGACGCAGTCAATACTATGGGCGCCTTCCGGTTCGGCAATCACATCCTCAAACAACACCTGAAACGTAGAAACCTTGAATTAACGACCAACTTAATGTCTTGGGGATTTCATACTAATGACAGTCCTACAGGTAGAGGTGTCAGAGTTCGTGGAACATGCGAGTGAGAAGTACAAAGAATCTAAACTGGCAAACCAATATGTCATTGTACATCAACAGAGCTGATATACATAAGAGCTAGTTTCATAATAGGATGTGGTTGTTTATGGTACTGACGTATGCATGTGGTCAAGGATGACAGATAATAGATAATATAATATTGTAAGTATTTGGCTTTAGAAATTGTTGAAATATATATACACTTACATACACTTCAGGATACACATGCAATCATTAGGTTAAGTCTTGTGCAAGGTGTTTTCTGATGTCCACAGACGAAGATGCGTTAACCATATACGTCATGCCATTAGTCTACAAATCTACTGTCATTGTATTATCTATGGGAGCGGTGGGGTAGCCTAGTGGTTAAAGGGTTCGCTCTGCACATCGAAGTACAGGCCTTGATTCCCCACATTGGTATAAAGTTTGGTACCAATTTCTTGTGCCCCCCGACGTGATATGGCTGGAATATTGCTAAAAGCGGCACAAAGCCATAGTCATTCACTAATTCTTAACCTATCGTTGCCTTTTGAATGATATACAACTTTCAAATAAATCCTTTTATATATTCATAAGTTTTGTTTAAAAACAATTAGTTCAGAAAAGGTTCAATATTGTATTCAAAAAGAAAATGCGTATTCAGGTTTATCATTTTGTCAGTATGAGGTAAATTACAGTACATACATGTCTATGATAGCTCAGGGTCACCAGACCAAGACTCTGCTTTGTTTATAGGCTTCTATGGGGACGTATAACATCAGTATTTATTATTCAGCAAAACTACCCTAATACACTCCTGCACGCAAGAGGTGCAAGATCTACATGGTGATTCAACGTTTGTGTTTAGCAGAGGGCCGTCACTATGGCTTTACCCACACAAACGGCAAGATCCTTATCATTTATTTACTTCTTGAAGCGTTTTTTCTAATTAAGGTTTGCTGGACATCCTGGAAACCATACATTGTCTCAAAAGTATTAATATGGTTAATAAGTTTTTCAAATTTGTATGAAAAGACAATTATTTAATTTCTCTGAGAAATCGTATGAATACATGGATTGTTGCCTTGTCTTTAGTGAACAATTGAATCTGCTGCGCTGTAACACAACTCATTTCCATAGAAAACGTTTTTTATCGCAATGCCCTTAATGTTTCAGTCATTACTTATTTAACCGATGAGACGAAGGCTGTTAGTTAAACAAATTTCATGATAATAATTAAATGAATTGTCATATTTTCGCTCATATTTATTGATTATTTCACATCGTATTCTTTTTAGATAAATGACACCGAACATACGATAAATTAATTAGTGTACATCGTTAAAGAAAGTGTTTATGATAAGAATTCTTGCTTCGCCGATAAATGTTTCGTCAGATTTATCATCACCTCAAATTAAAACAGTTGCTTAATATAACCACACATTACTCTGAACACAAATATATATTGAAATTCTTACGTGCAAATGTGAAAATAACCATATACAGAAGCATTTCTTACCTTAACATGGTCATTCAAGTTGTTAGGATCCCGATTGTCCATATCAAGTGAGTCAGCCATGTTGAAGCCTTGAGATCTCAAAAAAGGTTCCGAACTGTGGCTGAAGGTTCTCGGAATGGCAGGTTTGTTTCAGTAGTACAAATTTTTATATTTGTTGGTATCTAAGCTGCAGAGAAACAACTTTGCATGACACGCTGCCTGATTGGATAGATATGACACGCCGCCATGGCGACGACCTCGCGTGCTCATCTCGTCTACAACAAGTGGCAACTCATTCCAGAGAATAATAAATCATTTAAGTTATATTCACATAACCTAAGTAATTGTGTCGGCAACATTTAGAACGTATTTGAGTGTGTAGTTATTGTTTAAAGTACTCTAAGTTTTATTTCAAAAGAGCAGATCCCAGAATGATAACATAGTACAATGAAGCCAGTGTCGTTAACGAGTTTAACTGATTGGTATGAATAACTGCTAGTACCACGCAACCACAACAAAAGAGCTAATAATACATTTTACATGGATTTACACAGATAAGCGTTACAAATTGTTAACGACGGGTCAATTCTGACTTATAATCGGTTTCAAGTCCTCTAACGTGGAAGTGTGAAACATGAAACTACCTTTCTGAGATAACTATTTTAAATGGATGTATTTTGAACGAAACTGTTGCCTTTTTGCGATAAATATTTAATATGAGGTTATTTTCAGCGACAAAGTTCATGTAAAGGTGTGAACATGAAAACAAACTGCCTTTCTGAGATAAAAATTTAAATGAGTTTAATTTGAGCGACAAATTTCATGCATATGAGTAAACCGTAAATGAAACGGGTTATAAATGTCATGAATAAGTATTTGCGACATCGTTCAAAACATCGAACTATTTCATAAATGATCACATCAAATCAGCAAGCTAAGGTATTCAAATGACAGTATGTTGCCCCAGACAACCAGAAAATCAGCGCCACTCTCAAAGACCCAGGTTACTGCAGTTAATAGAAGACTCATGTTACGTTCTTTGTGGAAACCTACAGCTTGTTGAGAAGTTTATCCTCTTAATCGAGCCGCCCTGTCCGCTGTGTGCCTGACATGTACCACAGATAACTGTTTTCCACATGGCCGAGCACGCTGAAGATTAGTACATCCATATATACACCTACGCTGATACCCAGGGGGCGAATATTACACATACGTGTCAAGTTACACCCATGAACTTAGGTACGAGTGAACGAGTTTCTCATAAAATGCATTATTACCTACAAACACGGACGATGAAACGTTTGTCAGTTGGGACAAAGTGATAATGGACACTGAATGGACCCGTTGCATCGTTGCTTGAATTCAGTTCTCTCAAACTGCTTTTGGACTTTCCCTGAAAATAACGTGTGCTTTTCAAGAGACGACCCTCATACTGATCATTTAGAAGAATACTTATTATTGTGTGGGACCTCGCTCATGCGACCTCCGTTGATAGGGAAACACCCACATTCCGGACGATTACACCTGAAAATGTTAATGCGTACAAAATGTGACAAAACTCAGTTATTCGTTTATCTGGAAATTTGTGAATCCGCTCAGGATCGGGATAAACGGTGTTTCACTTGTGTTAACATTTTTTAATTCTTTTTTTTATTCCATTTCAAGTCTCGGATGAAATACATAAGACATAAAAGACAACATATATATAGCCATAACATCAATGGTATTTTGTGAGGTTACATAACATCAATGGTATTTTGTGAGGTTACATATCACATAAAAGACAATATATATAGCCATAACATCATACATATCACATAAAAGGTATATATATACTATAGGTTATATATCATAAAGACAACATATATATATATATATATATATATATATATCATATATATATATATATATATATACACATACATACATATACATATACATATATATATAACACATCAATGGTGATTTGTAAGGTTACAACAAATATATAGATATCATTAAAGTTTCTGTAGAGGGCATATAAAATATAAAATTGGAGGGATAAGGTTGAATAGGGTGATTGTAGTGAGTGGGGTCTGGAAATACAGCTTATATTATAAGTAGAGTTCAATGCTTAGCACATAGTAAGGTATATAAATGTTTCCACTTCCTTATAAAGGGATCTAAGCTATTGTTTTTTCTAGCTATATACTTTTCAGTTGTACCTATATCTTTTAACTTAAGAAATCACTCAAGGGAAAGTGCTTTTGTTTTATGCTTGAAACATAAATGAATCTTTTGGCAAGAAGTATAATATGATTTAGTATTTTATTGTTTGAGCACACTCCAAACATGATAGTGAATGTTGTAAATGTGACATTACACTGGAGGTGGGTATTTAGAAATTGTTCTACATTTTGCCAAACGTTTTTAACTAAATCACAGTAAAACAATACATGCAATATGTCTTCTGATGTATTTTTACAAACTGTACAAGTATCATTATCAACTAGATTCATCCTCAATAGTTCTTTCTTTGTATAGATAATTCTGTAAATAAATCTGTTCTGAAAATCTAACAGCTTACAATCATTTGTACATTTCCTGTAATATCTGAATACATCACTCCACATTATATCCTGCTGAAAGACAGTATTCCAGTACTCTAGTACCTTAGGGGTATTGTTGTTCTAAGTCAATTTATCATAGAATATCTTTCAACCTTTAACATTTGAGATCATATCTTGGTAAACTCTATTAATGTTTAATTGATTTAAGCAGAGAGCTCTGTTTCCTACAAGATGTCTCCAGTTCACTGGAATGTTATTTAACACATGATGATAATCTAAGAAGGTTCCTCTTATTTTGTACCTCTGTTTTACATCTGCAAAACTGAGAAATCCATTTTCATTACAAATATCGCTGACATAATGTATGTATACCGCAAATAAACCAATTTCTTATCATGTATGAAGATTTAAAGAAATGATTTAACCAAAGTGGCTGAGCCAAGATTTGGTCTAAGTCATTGCTGTCAAAGGTGTGTTAACATTCTATAATAACACTAGTGACGCCTTTCGGCTTTAACATTTCTCCCACTAAAAGCAATAATATCTAGAGCATTGTAATAACGGTATATTATGAACGTAATGTCTGACAGTGATGAGAAATTATCCCAATGAATATATTATGACTTATTTTAATGCCGTCCGCCTCTGCCAGATGGTTAGTCTTGGAATGTTGTCAAACAGTATTTGATATATTTGCTGCATTTACGATAAGAAAGTAGTTTTATGTACAGCTTATGACTGACTGAGTACGGTTTTACGCCGTTTTACCAATATTCCAGCAATATAATTTCGGGGAACACCAGAAATGGGCTTCGCACATTGTACCCATGTGGGGAATCGAACCCGGATCTTCGATGTGAAGAGTGAACGCTTTAACCACTGGGCTACCCCACCGACCTATAGTTAATGAAGACAAGGAGTCGTACGTAGACATGGCCCTTTTTGTGAAATTTCTTCGCGTTCACTGCCGTGTAGCTCTATGTCTTTTCTAGGTGATTGTAAGTATAAAGACAACATAAAACACGTCAGCTTTAAAATATGAATGGTGGTTTTATTCTTGATTAAATATAAGACCAGGTTTCGGTTTAAGTGATTTCACAATTTACTACTCGCTAAAATCACAACTGGGTTTTTTCGCTGAAAACAACCCGTGGATTTGGAATTTCGTCTCACTGTATGGTGTACGCGATCTGTTCAAATACAGTATATTGCAGGTGACTGGTTTCATTAATTCCATACAGCCATTGACAATGAACGAGGTTAGTGACAGATATTGTCTTCGGAGATTGCTGTTTCGTCTTTTGAAGTTGGTGGTAAATCTGAAACTTACAATCTTAGAGTAGCACGCAATGTTAAGGCTGGATCATTGCCAAAAGCGGCGTGAAACCCAACTCACCCACTCAATGACGGGTAATTTGCAACAAAGCCGTAAAGCTTAAAAACAATAGTCCCAAAGCCGCACCTGTTTCCATATTTCTTAATCAACAACGATATGACGTTTTATAATGTATGCATAGGCAATTGCAAGATACGACATTGCATTGTGAGATAAGGATCTGCTTCACTATTCAAGGTTCAGGATGTCGCGTGTATGATTGTTGAAAAACACACGGATCAGTATTTATCACTGACAGAGGAATGTTCTTCAGTGGTACCTGTGTTGTGTGCTGTGGGTAGCGCTATGTCCTGACGGCCGGACAGTCAGGCTTGTTAACATTGAACGTAGTGCGATGCTATCAATAGTAACGGCATGTCTTATTCATGAACGTGGGACGCTTTTCGTTCTTGGGATGGTAACTGGCATTGCGTTGAATCAGATCTGTCCTGAGAAACGCTATCCTGAGTTTTGTGAACTTCCTGATTGGATTAAAGCAAATCACTTGACGACATACCTGAAGTGCAACACCGAATTTCAACAAACGGTTCTTATCTATAGTAATCACAAAGCAAACAGTTTTATCAAATCTATCATTAGTAAAGTCATCTCTGTAAGCATGTCTTTTCGTCCAGTGCGATGCACGATTTTCTGTATCATAGCGGACACCTTGATTTGAGTGAGTTTAGTTTTACGCCACACACAGCAATATTCCAGCTATATGGCGGCGGTCTCTAAGTAATCGAGCCAGACAACCCAGTGATCAACAGCATGAGCATCGATCTACGGAACTGGGATACATGTGTCAACCAAGTCAGCGAGCCTCAGCATCCGATCCCTTTAGTCGCCTCTTGCGACAAGCATGGGTTGTTGAAGATTCATTCTCAACCGGATCTTCACACGTAGTGGACACCTTGAAACTATTGTAACATTTTGTTTCCTTACCTGTGTACAAAAAAACGCTGCACTCAATTGTACAAAATAATCCAGTCTGCGGTGAAAGGGTTTGATAATGTTCAATGTTCCCGTTCTGTCAAGTCTGGGGTGAAAGGGTTTGATAATGTTCAATGGTCCCGTTCTGTGATTGTTTATACTACTCAATCTTCAAAGGTTAAATCGCTATGGATTTCGAAACTAACAAAACAATCAATCAATGTTTAAAAGCATATCCGCAATGAAGTAAATCTATATCATATAATCTCCTTGGATCTTGG